ACAACGACCTGACCGAGGCGGGGCAAGTCACGTTCAGCGAGATGTCGCAGCGCGTCGCCGCGGAACCCGTGGGCCAGGCCGTGGTGTTCGAGCTGATGATGAGGCTGTTCTTCGTCCACGTCCTCGGCCTGCGCCCAGAGACCGTCGGGTGGCGGCGAGGAGAAGTTCGAAAGGCTTCGGATCACTGGGTATCCGACGGCGCGGCGGCCGACCTCATGGGCGCGCCCACGGTGTTCGGCCCCCTCGCGGCGACCTTCGGTCCGGTCGAGGCTCAGGGCCGCGGCTCGCTTCACCCGTCAGTTTGGGCGGTTTTTACTGCCGTCGTGTTAACCTTATGCCCGACGGGGCGCTGCGGGCTATGTCTCTGCGGCTTGCCGTCGTAGAAGCAACGGATGCTCTGCCCGCGCAGCTCTCCTGGGCGTTGGTCGCCTTGCTTCCTAAGCCTAGGGGCGGCTTCCGCCCGATAGGGAGGTCTCTCCGAGCTGGCGCAGGGCCCGGGGCAGGCGCCGTCGCCCTGGGGCTCTCCGTTGGGGGGTCCGGCGTGCGCGGAAGTATTGGGCTGCTGGGACCACCCGCGGAGAGGTCGACGCGGCGTGGAGACAGGCGTTCAGGGCTGAGTCGGGGACGGTCATTGGTCGAGTTAGTGCATCCATCTTCTGGGGCCTTCGTAAGTCTTTCAAGCACATCGAGTTGAGATTCCGTTGGGCCAAGTGAGCGCAGCATAAGTTTCTTTTGGCGGTGGCCCGTCTGGCCACCCACGTTCACTCGCGCGCCAGTTTCATGGCGCTTCTTCGGGGGGGGGAATGGGGTCGTCGCGGGGTATACTTCCGCGACTAGTTTGATCAGGGCGTTCGCCAAGGAAGTTTTCGGCAGTGCCCCCCAGCGAGCCTGATTTTCCCAGTCTTAGCGCGATAAGCAGAGGCAGCTTTGTTGCGAGCGCATTGTCTGCGAGCGCTCGAGCGCTGCATGCCGCGATTTCCTCCACCCAGGTGTGAGTTAGCCGTGGACAAGATGGGCGCGGTGTCAAGCTGCAGAGACGTTTTGATTCAGTCGTCTGCTCAACAATGCCCCCGAGTCTGTGATTCAGCTTGCGCCCGGGCGACCAACTGAAACGCGGGCTTCGCTGGGAAGGGAAGGTGCGCCACTATGCAAGAGCTGGCTGCGAGCGCGCTTAGGAACATTCGTCGTTTTGCCAGGTGGGGGCCCGCCCTGGGTCGACGTCGCGTTGGGGCTTCCGCTTCGGGGCCCATGGCTGGAACCGCGTGTGGCTCAGATCTTTTCGGGGCTCCTGGCCGTGAGTTGCTTGACTTGGGGCACATGGCCACGTCGTGCACCGAGCCCGCTGCGCAAGGGGGGTCTCTCTCTCAGGATTGGTTGCTCTGGATGTTCTGGAAAGGGGGCCCCACTTGGAGGGCCAGCTGCGCGCCCATTTCCCGATGGGCTAAGGAATTCTGGGCCTTCCAAGCGCGTGCTGTCGAGTGGCCTCTCAGCTGGGAAGAGTTGCGTCATGGGGGTGGAGCTTTTTTGTTGTTGTGTAAAGACGATTGGTCCTGGCTGAAAGTTTTTGGTCCGATTCCTGCTCTAACGATGTCCCTGTAGCGGCCTGGGTGGACGATGCCCAACTTCACCGCCATCTCGGGCGACTCTGGTCGAGAGATCTCCCTGACGCTGCACTCGCCTAAACGTGTGAAGGTTTTTTAGCGGGAGGCTGCTTTCCCCCCGAGCCTCGTGACTGGCGATGAGTTTAAGGAGGGAGGCAGGCTGCGCCGGGGCATCCCCATGCCCTTGCTGGCGTCCGAGAAAGTTCCAGGCCTCAGAAGGGTAATGCGAGGGCTCTCTCGGCCAATGCGTGCTGGACGGCAGGCGGTGCTGCCGACCAAGGTTAGCCAGTTTCCTGCCAGTGCGCCCCCGGCTGCGGAGCCAAGGGCGCGCTCAGCGCGTCTGCGCCCACCCGCGCGCGCAAGGGGCGAGAGGCCAGCACGCGCCAAAATGGATTCAACAAGCAGCTTGAGAGGCTCCAGAGGATGACTTTGGAAGAGTGCACTGGAGCCCCTGGCTTCCGTCATCCTGGTGATGAAGCGTCCCCACTTTTACGTGCGCTGGAGTCTCCTCGGAATGGTTTTCGGATGCCCTCCTTGATCCCGCCGAGCGTGAGGCCCCTCCTTCCCTGGTTCCTGTGGATGGATTCTGGGGGCGCATTCATCATGGATGGACCTTGTCTCAAGCACTCTGCGCAGGAGCTGTCCCGGGCAGGCTGGGGGCCACGGTTCCGGAGTCTGGAGAGCGCCCCAGGGTTCTTGACGGTCCGCTCCGGGCCCCACAGCGGGCCGAGTTTGGGGCCCTATAGCCTGGGAGTCTCCGTGCATGGAGGGTCTTGCAGGTGTCTTAGTTTTTTGTATTGCTTTCGAACCTTGGCGCTGCAGATGCGCGGGGAGCCAAGAGACGGCATGCTGGCGTGGGTATGCAGGCACGCCATCACTTCGGCCGCTCCGGTTTTGGCCTCACGGAGCGGATGCCCGCAAGTATGCGGAGGAGGTGGGGCTGTCCGCAAGGGGAGCGCGTTCGGAGGCCGGGGGACTCGCATGCAGGCATCGCGGCGAGAGAGGGAGCGGAGCTCCATCCCCGCAGGAACCCCGACAGAGGCTGAGGCCCTGGATCGGAAGACTTTCCTCGCGCGCCACACTCTTTTATCGGGGGAGCGTAAGACCCGGGTTTGCCCGGACTCGGGTTCGCCATTTTTTTTTGACGACCGCGCCTCGGATTTTGACGAGCAGGAGTTTCGTGGGATGTCTGCAGCGGGAGGCCTCGTCAAAATGCAGGCTCGGCCTCGTCATTTTTTTGACGACCTCGTCGGGGATTTCCGAGTCCCCCGTACCCGGGTCTTACGTCTCCCCGATTTTAGGTAATGCTGAGCTCCTGCCACTGTGGCCGAAGGTTGAGTTTCGAGGTCTTGAGCCACTCCAGCCGCCACGTCTTCCCAAGGCCGATCCGTTGGAACTCGAGCACGAATGGGTCAGCACCGGGTCCGTTTCGAGGTGTCGAATCTGCCCGAGGGGCTCCACAGCGTTTTCCACGCTTTCTAGGGGGGGACCTGAATGCTCAGGTCGCAGCTGTCTCGATCAGGGTGTCCTGGAGCGTCTCGGTCACCGTGTCATAGCGCTCCCATGCTCGGATCAGTCCCACCTTTCCGTGTGCATGAGTTGCAAATTCTATAGTAGTGCAGGATCTGTTCTCGCCTTGGGCGTATTTGCGCCCCTCCTACGGTGACTGGCACTAAAAATATGCGCTAGCTCCGTCAAGGCCTACACCCTGATAAGGATGTCACCGTCGACGTCGACGAATTCATCCCATGGTTATAACTTCAGCTTCAGTGCTGCTCCAGCTGCGTCTGTGGGCTGGTGTTTGCAATAACTGTTGCAGAAGCCGTGCAGTTGCTACCCCCCAAAAAGGCACTGAAGCGAATTTCGTAGACTGTCAAGACGTCTCAGGCGAGAACACGATTCGGGCGTATCTTGTTGGAGAATCCCGAACGAGGGCGTCGACAGCGTGGCGCTCGAGTAAATTGTGAGAGAACTCTGTGCGAGAGCGCGGCTCCTGAGTTAGAAAATCGTTAGCGAGAGCGCGATTCCCGAGTATATTGAGGGGACGTCTCATGCGGGAGCCATTGTGGTTGTAGCCGGTGGCCGAGGGGCACAGTTTAACGCTCAAGATTTCCCTGGGCAGAAAACAGCATGCGAGCCCCAGGGGAAGCAATTCAATTGAAAGAACACGCCGGCAGGTTGGAGGATTAACAATAAGTATTTCTCACATGCACACACACACACGGAATTTCAACGGTTCCCGCCAGATGAAGCTGTGACGGTTTCGCGCTGTCGCCTCAGACACTTTGGAAGTTTACTCAAGAATCGCGCTCTTCCTTTCAAATGTACTATGGAATTGTGCTCTCGCCCCTCAGGAATTGCACTCGCGCCCAGGGCTCCCCTACAAAGTGCACTGGGGTCGTGCTCTCGCCCGATACCTCCCCAAGATCAATTTTTGCCTCCCGCCCGCCCGACCCTCCCGTTGAATACCGCCCGCTCGACCTGCCCTTTAGGGGCCGCCCGGCCGACCCGCCCGTTAGGGCCCTCCCGCACGACCCGCCCGTCTGGGTATGCTGCCCGATCACGCTCAGCCCGGTGCAGGGCCACGCTCGCCCGACCCGCCCAGTGGGGTCCGCCCGTTCCTTTGCTTGGAGGCCCGCCCGCTCGCTCTGACGCCCTGCCCGCCCGACCCGCCTATTCGGGTCCGCCCGCCCGACCCGCCCGCTGGGGCCCGCCCGCCCAACCCAGTTGTGTTACGCAGTCGGGGGTTTTACGCAGGACCCTGGCATGAAGAGAGAATCCCCCCCAAAAAGGGCGCGTTTAGAATTGAAGAGGGCGGGAGTCGAGGGCTTCGGGTACACATGTTGAGGGACACGCGAGCAGCCAACAGCGAACAGTCTCAAAATGATAGTTCTTGTTGCTGATGTTGTCGTCGTCACCCCCCTGATGTTGTTGAAGCTCCGCGATCCACCCGCGTCCCGCGTCCGTCAGTGACCCGCCCGCACCGCGACCCACCCGCAACCCGCCCGTAGCCCAGCCGGAACCCATTCGCGGCCGCGTGTCCGTGACTGATCCTGGCCGCTTTGCTGGCTCAGTTGCATTGTCATGTTATCCGCGACCATGACTGGTCCTGGTCCTGGTCGCGCGACGGTACGATCGAACTTCGCCAGAACAGGGACGGTCTCGGTCGCGGTCGCGGTTCCGCACTGCTGGAAACACCGAATGGTGCGGAACCGCAGTGCGGCCAACGTTTGAAGATTCCATACAAGCTAGGGGGCGTCGGGGCGCCCGCGAGCATCGGGGGGGAGGTCGTTGGTAGGAAACGGCGGTGGGCTTCAGAAAACTACAGAAACCCGACCTGGCAGCCCAGGTATTGCACCATACCACTTCGCGCCAGTGGGGCATGGGGGCGGATGGCAGCTTCAGAGATCGAGTTTTACAATGAGCATGAGGGCATCCAGATGCTCAACTACATTCCTACTGATGGGGGGCCAGGGTTTGAGGGAATCGAGAAGTGGCTCGAGGCAATTTTGCATGCGACTAACCCGCTATTAAGGTGGATCAAATGCTTCAAAGGCAAGCACGTCATGGTATGTGGGCGAAATAAGTTTTGCGGAATGGTTGGTGCCATCGCGGCTCTCGCGAAGAAGAAATACAAGATCGACGTAGGGACGATCCGCTTTGGTCCACCTCCTGATGAGGGAGAAGATTTCGAAGAGGGTAGCATCACGCAGCTTCTGACGAACGTTACGGAGAAACAGAAACAGCCACTTGACCTCATCATTGTGGACCACGGCAAACACGGACAGCTTCCTCAGGTCGCGCACAGCTTCTTGGATGCCATGAACAGTAATCCAGATACAAGGGCTCCAATATTGGTTACCGATACGACGCCTGAGCAGTACCACAAAGAGCACAAACGGGCCGTGCTGCGAAAGGGGGCGGGCGGTTACGCTAACAGCGCGGGCGTGTTGTTTGCCGAGGTGCGCCGGCTACTCGACACCACCGCGCTGGAGCAGTCGTCCTTCGAGAAGGCGTGCATGACGCAGTGAGGGCTGTCGCCGAGAGCAGCCCTCCGTGCACCCCTTGTACGCGCGGTTCGTCAGTACCCAGAGGTCAATAAGGCTTCGATTTTGCCTCGCCCTTTGCGAGTGTACTATTTTCATCAATGCTGCCTTTCCGCTTCTCGACAGCTGCTGTCAGCGCGGGCAGAGTTTGGAGTTAGGCAGTGCGGGAAGTGTGGGCAGGAGGAGGACGGAGGTCGGAGTAGGGACGCAGGAAGTAAAGGAGGGAGTGCGGGACGCGGCACGAGGGAGGAGAGAGGAGTGAGGGAGCTGGAATGATGTGAGGGATGGAGGGCGGGAGGAGAGGAGGCTTGGGCAAGCTAGGTGTTTTCGCGCCTCATCTGACGTCCTGTCCTTCCCTCTCATCCGTTCCCACGGCGCTGATTTTTCATTATCCGCGGACGCGTGTCATAGCCGACCTGCGTCTCCCCAAAAAGGACCATTCCGTGGCATGCTCAATCGGAAAAGGGTAGCTGCGTGCACAGGAGGAGGAGGAGGAGGAGGAGGAGGAGGAGGAGGAGGAGGATGAGGAGGAGGAGGAGGTGGCGGGTGAGCAGAAGGATGAGCGGGAGGAGAAGTATGAGGACGAACAGCAGCAGCAGCAGCAGCAGCAGCAGCAGCAGCAGCAGCAGCAGCAGCAGAAACTAAAGCGGAAGGATCGTGAAGAAAAGGAGGAGGGGGAGGGGGAGAAGGCGGAGGAGGGGAAATGAGGGGGGCGGCCACGATGAAGAACGACTCGGAGTCAGAAGGTGGCCCTCGCTGCGGCGAGACGAACAGCAGCAGGAACTGGAGTGGAAGAGGCGGGAGGAACAGGAGGACCAGGGGAAGGCGGAGGAGGGGAAATGAGAGGGGGACCACAATGAAGCGACACTGGGCTCCAGAAGCCCGCGCTGGGGCGAGAGCGCCATTCTGAACGACGGGAGCACAGCACAGATCCCAAAACAAGGTCCACGCTGCAGCGGGAACATCTTTTTTGATTCCGAAAACAGTCGGATTGTAACAAACCGTAAGGACAACAAGTTTTGAAATCCGGTGCGTGAAAACAGAACGCGGAGGTGTGCGGACTATATATATATACACACACACCTCTTCCTATATTTTTATAAGCCCGGGCGGGGGGAAAACCCGTCACCCCCCCCCAAACCGGACTCCCGGGACCTGGGGCTTTGGGGCCCTCCAGACGGGCCTCGAAGCGGCCACCGGGCCTCGCAAGGCGTTTTGCCAAGCCTTCCCAGCACACTTAGGGCGATCAGGGGGGTCATCGGAGACGTCCCAGAGACCCACAAGAGCGCTCCAAGAGTGACCGACGTGACCTCAAGATGGCCCAAGAGGCCTCCAGGACGGCCCCAAAGAGACCTCCGAGAGCACTCCCAAGAAGGCCCCCCGAGGCAAAAATCATTGATTTTCTGTGGGTCTCGGGTGAATTTTGGGGTTCTCCTCTTTTCGGCTTCCCGACGCTCCAAGACGGCGGTCTTCTGGGCGTCCGAAGCCACCTGGGAGGCTCCCAAATCGCCCCACAACCATCCGAAAAGGCTTCCAGGCAGTCCAAGAGAGCCCCAAAACGGCACAACACGGGTCCAAGATGGCCCTCAGAGAGCCCCATGGCGGCCCAAGATGGCCCAAAGACACCCTCCGAAGAATTCCAAATCGTGATTCGGTCGTTCAGGGAGACGGCGGTTGGAGGCAGGGTGGCCCGAGGAAGCCCCCGGAAGCCCCCAGAATACGCCCAGGAGGCCTCCAGAAGGCCTGAGTAAAGCTCGAAACAACTGTTGTGAGGACCCTAGAGGCTCTCCAAGGAGGAGCCTCCGCAAAAAAGAGCTGAGGAGGATGGGGAGAATGCGCAGAGTATGGCGAAAATAAGGAACAATAAGCATAGAGGAAGGATAACGAATAACATCATTATAGCGGCGATGCCGGAAAAGGCAACCAGGAGGTATCGCTAAATTGTCGGCTTGACCTTCCTGCCATTCCGCCTGCATACCAAACTTCAAGGACCAAGGTGCATGGCGCGAAGCGCCACTGCAGTCTTGTATATATATATATATATATATATATATACATATATGTGCGTGTGTGTGTACATATATCCGAGTACAGGGCCGGGGGCCTTCTCCCAGGTGCCTCGCGCCGCCAACGGGGCTCTGGGCTCCCCGGGCACCCTCTCCAGCGGCCCGAGAGCTGCCCACACCGCCGTAAGTGGCGTCACAGAGACACCAGAAGGATTCGAAATGTCCCGCGGGGCTTCCGGGCAGCCCCAGATAGCTTCAAGACGGCACAAGAGGACTCGACGAGGGTCCCAAGAGGCAAAAGCCATTGATTTTACATAGGTTGTAAGTGTTCTTGGGATTCTCGACTTTCGATCTTCCGACGCTCCACGGCGTCCCAAGAGGCCTGCAAGATCGCCCGACCGCCCCAAGACGGGCCAAGAGGGTCCCAAGAGGGGCCCAAGAGGGGCCCCAAAGGGGCCCAAGAGGGGCCCAAGAGGGCCCCAACACGGCCCCCCAAAAGGGGCCCACGAGCAGCAGCCCGAAAGGACAATTCGAGCTTTCCGTCCCAAGATGCCCCCAGACGGCCCAAGAGGGCTCGCCAAGCGCTCCCCAGAGAGCCCCAAGAGGCAAAAACCATTGACTTTATATAGTTTTTCAATGCTTTCGGGGCTCTCGACTTTTCCAGCTTCCAGCGCTCCACGACGTCCCGAGAGGCCCCCAAGACCGTCCCGAGACGGACCGCCAAAAGGCCCCCAAGAGCGCCCAAAGACGGCCCGCCCAACGCAGGAGCCCGAAGCGATGCTTCGAGTCTTCCGTCCAAGATGCCCCCCAGACGGCCCGAGAGGACTCGATGAGCGATCCCTAGATGGCCGCAAGAGGCAAAAGCCGATGATTCCCCTCAGGTTTTGACGTGTTTCCGAAGGGTCTCGACTTTTCGAGCTTCCAGCGCTCCACGACGTCTCAAGAGGCCTAAGAGACGGCCCGAGACGGCCCAAGAGGCCCCCACGAGGGCCCCAAGACGGCCCCAGACAACCCCTAGACGGCCCTTGACGCGCCCAAGACACCCGAAGAAAGTTCCGAGACGGCCCCAAGAGGGCCCCAAATATAATACGAATTTCATATAAACCACTTCCTCGTCAAGGACGGCGTTGTGTTTAAATGTGTGTTAAAATATTGGGGCTCGGTGGGAGCTCCGGGAGCTCCCTTGGCGCGTCTTTGGGCCCTCCCAGGGTGTCCTCTACAGCTCGTTTGGGTGCCTGTGGGACTTTGAGGAAGGCCCCAGGAGGCTTCTGGAGGCCCTGGAGGCCCCACAGATTTCCAGAGTCCGGAGGCTCTGTATAAGCAAAACACGCCTCAGAATATGCAATCGTCCCATCACGTCCACAGACGACGACCACCACAACCACGACTACTACGACGACCACCACGACGATCATCGCGACGGCGGCGGCGGCGGCTGCGGCGGCGGCGCCCGCGGGGGCGTCGGCGGCGGCGACGGCCTGGCGGCCCAGAGCTTCCGGGGCCCTCCTCGGCCACCGTGACAGTCACGGCATTTGCGCAGTCTGGGATACACTCGGAGCTTTCCGACGCGTCGCACGTCGATCCTCGCACGGCTCCGCGACCGCCCACCGAACCCTAAACTACCCCCCAGAAGTCCAAGCACTTCCACGCGCCAAGGGCGGTCCTTGCCTGGGGAACCTCTCCGTGGGTACCTTGGGTGTCGTAGATCAGCGCGAAGTCGATTGACAACGGCTGCACAGTCGTCTAGAATCTAAGCGCGCGCGTAGCGCGCGCATGCTTCTAGACGATGCTCGCGCGCGCTCCAGGAGCCCGCGGTGGGGCGAGAGCATCATTCTGAACGATGGGAACACAGCGCAGATCCGAAAACAAGGCCCACGTTGCAGCGGGAACACCATTTTGACATTCTGAAAACAATCGGATCGGAACAAACCGTAAATAAACAAGTTTTGAAGTCCGGTGTGGAAGCAGCACGCGGGGGTGTGCGAGCGACTTGTATATGATCCATACATACGTACATACATACATACATACAGACATACATACATACATACATACACACATACATACATACATACATACATACATGCATACATACATACAGACGAACAGACAAACTGACATACAGACAGACAGACAGACCGACAGACAGGCAGACAAACATATATATACATATATATGTATATGCATACACCCATACATCGGTATATATATATATATATATATATATATATACAATATTGCATTGGCGCTTCGCGCCATGCACCTTGGTTCTTAAAGCTCGGCATGCAGGAGAACCAAATATAGCGATGATTCATTGTTGCCGTTTGCGCCATCGTCGTTATAGTAATGTCATGTACTATTCTTATTATTCCCATTTTCTTACTCGTAATCTTCCTTGTGTGCGAGCCACTCCTTGTCCTCATCCCCAGTCTTCATTGCAGGGGCTCCTCTTTGGAGGTGTTCTTGGGCCTTCTCAAAAGCTTGTTGGGGACCTCTGGGGACCTCCTGGGCGCCTTTTGGGGGCCTCTGGGGGCTTCTTGCGGCCACCGTGCTACCAACCACGGTCTCCCTGAACGACCGGGTCACGATTTGGAGTGCTTCGGGAGGCGTCTTGGGGCCATCTGGGGCTGTCAGCGGAGCTCTTTTGGGGCCATCTTGCGGCCCTGTTGGACCATATTGGTGCTCTTTTGGACTGTCTGGGAGCCTTTTTCGTTGTGGGAGGATTTGGGGGGCCTCTTCGGCGGACTCGGACGCACGGAATACCGAAGAACCGAATGTCCAAACATTCAATAAACAAACGAAAGGAAAGTGCTGTTTTTTCCAGACCTTCCTGCGTTGGGTTCTCGTTTTGAATAGAGCACTGCTCGCGCGTCTCCTTTCTTCCTTCCTTCCCCCCCTCCCGTCCCTCTCTTCCCCCCTAGCTGGGGGGCTGCGATCTGCGAAACTGTCGCCACCTTCGAAGCCTGCTGGGGGGCCCAG